AGAAGCAGGCTCCAGGCTCCGAGCCATCAGCCCAGAGCCTGATGCGGGGCTCGAACTCACGGACCGCGAGATCGTGACCTGGCTGAAGTCGGACGCTTAACCGACTGCACCACCCAGGCGCCCCTACACTGATTTCTTGATATAATTGGTAGGATGTTATTCCTGTGTGCCACATTTTAAAAATCGTAAGCTTTATACTTTTTTTAACTTTTTTTTGAGAGAGAGAGAAAGAGAGAGAGAGACCCTATGAGTGGGTGGGGCAGAGAGAGAGAGAATCACAAGCAGGCTCCACGCCATCAGCACAGAGCCTGACGTGGGGTTCGAACCTGTGAAATGGTGAGATCATGACCCGAGCCGAAACCAAGAGTCAGACACTTAACTGACTCAGCCACCCAGGCGCCTCAGTTTTATACTTTCTCAAAAAAACAATTAGACACCGTCCACTGCTATGGTTTGGCTCAGGAGAGTGCTGAGCATTCACTGGCCTTCACTGCACGTGGGTAGGAATGAACACCACCCACCTGTGAAGCTTCTAGGCTCAGGACAGAAGCTGTGCTTCTGGATGCCCTGCAGAGTTGAAGACATTCACCAATTCCCTTTGTCTCTTTGAAGGATATTCCCCGAGTCCCTCCGGTGGCTGATGGCTACCCAGCAGTTTGAGTCTGCAAAGAAGCTGATCTTGCACTTCACACAGAAGAACTGCATGAACCCTGAGAGTGACATCAAAGGTGTGATGCCCGGTGAGTACTGCTCACATCAACCCTGCAGCCCCACCCAGGTGGGGAGAGGTGCCTCCCATGTTGGACCAGGAGTCATCACTCTCCTACCAAGCAGCTTCCTTAGCTGTTTATCTGCAGCCAAACTAGGAATGTGGGTGAATTGAAATTCTCTCCACCTTCCTTTGGAGAGAATTGGATTCTCTCCTGATTGAGTCTAACACACTGTGGCACCCCACATAGTCTCTCCAGACCCAGAAGTGAGGCCTGAGCCTAATATGCACCCAGCTGTCAAGGAATATTTGGGAGGGGGACAACCTGAGTCTGGAACACAGCCTTGCCTGCCAGCCAGGTTTATATACCAGCAGAGTCCTGTCTGGGGGTAGGACTTGTCTGTACTATCTCTCTTTTCCCTAGCATGACCTTCATAGATGCCATTGTTGGTTTCTGTTGTGACCTGTTTGTTGGGCATCCGAAGCAGTGGAAAAGTGAAGTATTTTAATATAGCAGTTCAAATCCATAGAATTTGTCTGTGCCAGGAGCATCACCACAAGCTAGATGGGGGCTTTCAGGCTGGGGATCCTATATTAAGTATCACCAGGACATCATTAAAATCCATATTCTTGGGCCCCTCCCTGGTACCCAGAGATTCTATCCAGTAGATTTGGAATAAGCTCTGAGAAGCTGCATTTTTAATAAGCACCAGAAGAAATTCCGAGGTACATGGCACACAGACCTTTTGAAAGTCCTGATAAAACCAGTCCCAAGCTCTGACCCACTGCAACAACCTGACAACCTGGTGTAGACAGAACTGTTGTTATAAATTTCCCAGGAAAATAATCTGCAGGCTCTAAGACAGAACATGCACATCCCCCTCTGCATGATCTGAAATTCTGTCCAACAGATATTTTCGAAACACCTGCTGTGTATCAGGCATCAGGCACTGTTCTAGAACAGAGAAGGAAACAGGCAAAGCCTGGCTTTCGTGGAGCTTACCGGCAAGCAGGGGAAGGCATGCAGTGAACAATTAAGTGTATAATACATCAGGAGGAATGAATGCTGTCAGAAAAATCCAGAGTAGAGAGATAGAGGGTGGTGGTGAGGGGTCACATTCAGATGCTCAGGGGTAGCCCGGCTCCAAGGTAACAGGTGAGCAGAGACCTAAGTGCAGGAGAATGGACATCTCCATTCACAACAGGAAAGGAACATAGGAGGTCTGAATCACACTGGCTAGGAAGGGCTTCTGGAATCATCTATTCCATGGTTCTTAGGCTTTTAATTAGACTCCTGATTCAGGTCTGGGGTTCATGGTCAATAAAAGTCCCCCAGATGCTGCTGCTTAACCAGGTGGCATCCTTGCCTTGGCCTGTACCTATGACCTGGCAGATGGGGACAGCAAGGCTAGGCAGCCTCCACCTATAGGGCAGGCTTGATCTGCCAGGCACTTCAGCACAGGCAGAAGAGTTCAGGAAGCCTGGAACCCTTGCATTACTGGATTGAGGAAGGACATGAACCAGGTCTGCTTTACATGAAGAGTACTGAGTGCTCGTGCTTTGCAGAGGGACATCTGTGGTCCCTTTTTATCCAGTGGCAATGATAATAAACAGAATAACATTTACATAGTGCTTATATGTTAGTCACTTTTCCAAGTGATTTGCAAATACCAGCTTCTATTTAATGTAAAATCTAAGTGCTTCACATATATTAACTTCTATTTCTTCACAATAGTCCTCTGAGAGAGGTACTAAAATTATCCAGAATTGCAGATGAGGAAACTGAGGCACAGAGAGGTTAAGCATCTTGCTGAAAGTCAGACTAGTAAGTAATTGAGCTGGGACTTGAACCTGAGAAGTCCAAGAGAGGCAGCTTCACTGTGCTACTTCTGAGAGATCAGGGGGAGCTGAGAGACAGAGATACTACTGTAACTGTGGAGAAGAATGAGAATTGGATTCATTTCCCCTTTGGGGCCATGTTTGCTCATTTTGGAATGTCCAGCCATCTTCCCAAACTTCTCTGGGCCACATTCATTAGCAGGTTCATGCTCTTAAGTCTTACAGTATAATTTGTTTCTAGCATTTCCCTAATTAAATCACCACAATCCACTTCTTTCCGGTTAAAATATTGTCTGGGAAAAGCTTGTTTTCTCAATACTAATTACACTGATTCATTTTCCTCCTATTTTTGGCAAGTGGTATTCCATCTTTTTTGCCTGTCTTTGCTTATGAGTTCTGCTGCTGTTCCAGCGGGAGGCGGGGGGAGAGGTAGCTTGATGCATGTGACTTTCCCCCTCTTGGGAGGGTTATCACTGCGTTCACTCCCAGGGGATACATGTTTCCCCTCTGCCTCTGGAGTTCTGCTCACTCCCAGCTGTCAAATGCGTTGAAGCCAGTGCTGGGGGAAGGTAGGTGAAGTCTGCTTCATCTGAATCGGCCGCTTCCAACTTTCTTAGGCTGGCTTGTTTTTCTGCTTGGAATCTTTTTCCCATCACCTCATCTCGTCCACCTGCCAATACCTGTCCTTTACTGGGACTCACATTAATGAGTCTTCTTGTCTCTGACCTCACTGCCCCTCCCCTCACATCACCTGCTCAGAAATCCCTCAGCAGTCTCCAGGGGCCTTCCAACTAGATCCCTAAGACCTTCACTGAAGTTGCTCAGAGACCCTGTGTCACCTCTGCCTGCCTCTCCAAGGCGCTGCAGCCCGCATTAGGCTCTCAGAATACACCGAATGCCTCCCCTCTGCAGGTCCGTCCCCACACTGGGTCCTCCTGCTACCCCATCTATACTGTGGTCAGCTCCTCAGGGACGAGGTCAGACCTCCAGTTAGGTGTTTTCCCCCATCATTCACAAGCAGCTGTAGCTGACCAGTTTCTGTGGCTCCTTGTTGGGGCCGATCACCCTGCCATAGACGAGAGCTGGCATGGCAGCCTGGGTGTGCAAGGCTGGGCTCCCTTGCATCCTGGCACCAGCAGCAGACCTAACACGAAGCAGGCTTACCCTGAATGTCTACTGAACAATTGAATGGAGGCCTCCTGCAGTCCAGGAGGGGGCAGGGCAGTTTCACATGGGAATCGGCCATGGCTGCCGGGCACCTCACCTCTGGGTAGATGAGAGTCTCAGGCCTGGATGCATATGGGGGTTGGGGTGGGGGCAATGCTCATGCCCCTGCCAGCACATCCTTTTGCATTCATGCTAGAAGAAAACCTGACGTTCCAGAATTATCCATGCCCTTTCCTCTTTTAAAGCCATCTTGGTTTATCTTTGAACATGTCAGCTTTCCCCAGCAGAGTTGATAGCTGAATTTAGGTAGATAAGCGGATGTGCCTCCTGAGTGTCATGGTCAGTGTCATTCCTGCAAACATTAGTGTCACAGAAAGCGACCAGGAACTGGCATCTGTCCTCACGTCCTAATTCCCAAGACTTTCAGCGTCCTCTCAAGAGTCCGAGTGCTGCTGGCCCCAGCTGTGGCCTGTAGACTGCAGCCCACCGTGAGAAGACATCTTGGAGTCAGACCTGTGCTCAGCCCCTGGCAATAGTAACGGTAACACAGGCAGTCATTGGGCAGTGACTCTGCAGGCATGAGTGACACTCTCCACCGGCATTTGATTCTCACCAGAGTCTTAATGAGGTCAGTCGTCACATTATCCCTGCTTGACATATGGGGATGTGGGGCCCAGAGAAGCTAAGTGTTGGGAAGCACTGCTTCTTGCTGCTGATGTGGCTCCATGTGGAAGGAGCAAGCCCCGTGTGGGGAGTGGGTGTCCTCTGTCCTCATGCATCAGGCCCTCTCTGGGAAGCACCCCCCCGGAGAAGCCTGCCTGGCCCAGCATTGCCGGATGGGAGGGTGAGTCCCAGCATGAGGCCCATGTGGGGCTGCCCCCTGCCCTTCTCAGTAATCAGGCTTGGAGTCTGCCCTCACTGCCCCCTCTGTCTTGTCCATCTGTTCGGAAACTAAGGTGAGAAGAGGGTCTGTGAATTACTCCTCAGAGTCCCCAGGTTAGGTAACTTGCCCAAAGCCACACCACTAGAGAGTGATGACACCAAGGTTGGCCCAGGCAGGCTGACCCCAGCGCTCTGATCCTAACCTAAGTGGTTACAGAAAATTTCTCCTCTGGGCTTCAGGCCAGCTGCAGTCACGTGCACAGAGAGGGAGTCGCAGAGGTCAGCACTGCTGGGTCACTTGTCAAAACTTTGGGTAGATTTTGAAGAGAGAGCTGTGTGAGGTGACTTCGCTAAGGTCCGTATAGTTGCTCTCATCTGCTTGCTTCTGAAGCACTTATCCAAATGGCCAAGTGCCATCATTTCTAAATCCACACCTGAGGACTGAGGGGCTGTGTGGGGGAGACAATGGGCGCCTTCTCTACTTCTGAGCTTGGACCTGGGCATCAGAGCCACTGCCTTGGAGCTTTTAGTGCATGTGATTGACAATGGCTGTGATGGGGGTGGGGGACTGCTGTGCTGCTCTTCCTCTTCCTCCTCCTCCTCTTCCCTCTGCTCTTCCTCCTGCTGTTCCTCCTCCTCCTGCTCCTCCCCCTCCTGCTGCTGCTCCTCCTTCTCCTGCCATTCCTCTTCCCCCTGCTCTTCCTCCTGCTGTTCCTCCTCCTCTTGCTCCTCCTCCTCCTCCCCCTGCTCCTCCT